CGGCCCCCTCCGCCTGTGAGTTAGGTGGAAGAATTTCATCTCCTGAGAACAAGGGCATTTGTCTATTCCAGGCCAAGGAGTGGAACTTTGTGGGGAGGGGGAAGGTCCAAACCGTGTGAGGACGAGGGCTCTTAGCCTTGATCACCTGGCATTTGCTCATGAGCAAGTGCCACATAGAAAGATCTCCCATGTCACCTCGCATGGTGAGGACAATCCTGTCCTGGTCCTTGGGCTTCTGCTGCCTCTGGGCTCTTCAAGGCTTTCCAAGCTGCCATGGCTTTCCCACCCCCTCACCCTTCTGTCTGATCCCCTCTGTCACACACTGCTGCTCCCTTCTTCCTCCTGGTTCTGTCCCTCATCCCCAGCCTGTGCGCCCCACCAACAGAAACAAGTAGAACTCCATGGCGTGAATGCCTGTTCCCCCTCTCATCCCCCGTCTTTCCAAGCCTGACAGTGTTTTGGGGACTTGGCTCAGGACAGGCCGGTTGTGCCTCCCCCCTGCACGCTGAACTCCATGTGGGGAGGTGGCTAGTATTGCGATTTGCAGCTCAGACTCTGGGGTCCTGGACCCTGACTTACTTCTGATTATCTGAGTAACCCTGTGTTAGCCTCCCTGAGCCTCAGTTTTCTCACTTTCAAAGTAAGACCTGCTTCTAAGACTTGTGCAAATTGAGTAATGCCTTGTGTGCACTGAGCAGGCTGCTCAGACACCATGGGAACCCTGCCTGGCCATGGACCAGGAGCACACTGTTCCACAGGTCCCCACCCTACCCCTCCCTTGTGCCTTCTGTCTTCTCAACCTTAAACTTTAGTCTTCTCCTTCAGGAAGCCTTCTTGGATTGAAACACTGTTGCCCTGTGTTTGCATTATATAAATATATTTGCATATTATAAATTATCCATCTGCGCTTGCTTCTCTTGTCTGGGTCCGTATCACCACACACACACACACACCTAATTGTAAATATAATAAACATAGCTAACACTTATTAACACTGTGCACCTTATCAAGTACTTTACATTCGAGTGTTGATTTAATACTCTCAACCACCTTACAAAGAAACTGGGAGTTAAAGAGGTTAAATAGTTTTCCTGGGAGGTCATTCAGCTCATGAGTTGAGCCAAGATTCTAAAGCTACTGACTCTGGATTCCACAGAGCTGTCCAACAGAGCTTTCTGCGAAGGTGGAAATGCTCTCTCTGAGCAGATTACAGGACCCAGCAGTGGCATGTAGCGACTGAACGCTTAAAATGTGGCCAGTGTGACTGAGGAGTTGAACTTTTAGTTTTATTTAATTTTAATTAATTTAAATTTAAATAGTCAAATGTGGCTACTGGCTACCTCATTGGACCGCACAAATCTAAAACCTGAACTTGTGCTGTATTACACAAACTACCAAAATTCATTGTCAAGTTACTAGTTTTGGTGTGACCAAGAGAATTAGAAATAAATTAGAATGAGACAAATGAGAATTACAAATGAGAATTAGAAATAAATTAGAATGAGACAAATGAGAATTACAAAAGTTCTTATTATAAAAATAAGAACTGTATCTATAGGCGTGAGCATTTGAGCATTATGTTTAGTGACGTGTGTATAGTCCTGGCAGAAGGCAGAAAATTCCTCTTTCTTTTTTGTTCCTCAGTCTCTTGACCAGGGGTGGAGTGAATATGAGAACACTGTAAATTAGCAATGAAATGTAGTGGAAAACATGTGAGAGTGAGATTCTGTGGGATTAATTCTTAATTCCTGAGTTGCCACTTTGTATCATCTTGGATAAGTGGGTTGCCATGGCAGAGCCTTACTTTCCTTGTTTGTAAAGTTTAAAGGGCGTTGCATGTATCAAGCTCTGTGTACCCATGTTAGCTATCATTATCTCTGACTCCAGCCCCTTGCTAAAGCCTCAACATTCTTGACCTCTGCAGGTGCCAGTACCAGACCAGGTAGGGTGATTAAGTTGAGGAACCAGAGCCTCAGTATTGCCTTTGGTTAGGTCTACACATTCAGTGATCTGGGTCCATGTGATGAGGCATTTTATAGCCTGATAGACCCGCAAAGGGACCTTTGAGTCCATCTGTCCAATCCACCCCAGTCCTGAGAAGTTTGGTGACTGTCCCAGGAGTGGAGACCACACTGGAACCCAGGCTGCCTGCTTCTCAGTTTAGCACTCTTTCTTCCAGGCCCCAGACATGGAGCCTGAATGATCTTGAATTGGTTCTTCACAGGCAAAGCCAACCAGCGTGGGTGTGCAGTGCTGGAGGTGCAACACAGAATAGTGTCGTGGAGGGGCTCTCTCCCAGGGCTGGGAAACTTCCGGGATGCCAGGTCGTGCAGCAGGGAGGACTCAGGCCAACCTTCCAGTTTTACTCTTGCTGCAAGAAAAGGGCTAAACACTCCGAGTGCACCCTCACCACCCACTCAGCTTCCCAGAAATATACCTACCGCCATAGAAGGACACTCGTCCTGATTAAACTGGGCAAGAAAAAGTGGGTCCAGCCTGCTTCCATGAACTGAATTAATTATCCTTCATTCCTTTATCTCTTTCTTTCCAAATGGATCCATTTTAACTGTTTAACTGTAAGCCAAACGCATGGCCACTACCCATCAGACCAGCAATGTCCTTGCAGTGGGTCAGAGAGCTCTTGAGTGTAGAGATGGGAATGTTTCTGATCCCACCTCAGCAAGGTAGGAAACCACCCCTCCCCCTCCAAGTCAGCAGACTGCCCAGCTCAGAACAGCACAGGAAACAGAGGTCCCTGGGCAGCAGCTGCTTCCCTGCTGGGGACCCCACTTGCCACTCGCCTTGTCGATGAAGGAGGCGAACTTGTTGTTGAGACTGTTGGTCACTCCTTCTCCTCCTTCCATATGCACTGGAGAGAGGGGTCAAGCTCCAGGTGGAGGGGCGTCAGGAGGCTTTGATTGACGGTGACCTCATGGATACTCCCAGCTCCAGGCACCATCCCACCTCCAAATCCATACCCACTGTTGGCTCCCCCACTCTGTACCCTGTGCCCCTGACACCCAGCCCATAGCCAGCACCCCCAAAGCTAGCCTGGCTGGAGCAGTGGCTCCCCACTGATGGAGAGTCTGTTGCTGCCCCCAAGGCTGTGGCGACTCCTCATCCTGAAGCCACCCCTGAAGCCACCCCCATAGCAATTCCTGCCCTGGGACATAGAGACAAGGTGAAGCTGGGCCAGCAGGCTGGGAGGAGGCTGGCCAAGGAAGCACTGAAGTTCCAAGCGCCACTGACTTGATGGTGACAGAGGACCCTTGGGTCATGGTGGGAGCTGGTGCTAGAGGGTCAGAGGAGTGAAAGTGCCAAAGGAATGAGGCGCCTTCAAAGTCTGTGTCTCCCAAACTCTCCTTGACTTTTATCCTTTTCAAGAACTGGGCTTGGCTGGAGAAGATCAAAGACCTCCAGTCTGTTGAGTTCATCTCAATGGCGTGTCTGGCCACAGCCCATCTTCCTGACCCACTAGTCACCGGAGGAACACCCTGGGGCCTGGGGCCTGGGGCCGGGGGCAGCCCTAAGTTCCCAAGCCCCCCACCCGCCCAGGCTCTCAGCCACCGTGGACACTCCCACTGCTTCCCGTCCCAGCTCCCTCCTCTGCTGCCAGGTCTTGGGCTCTGATCCCAAGCGCTTGACTGTGCCCTTCCCATTCTGGTCATGTATGATAAAACAACAACAACAACAACAACAAAAAACCATTAATTGAGTATTCAATCTGTGTTCCACCACACAGCAGGTCAGCATCATCTCACTTGATTCTCATTAAACTTTGTGAGAGTGGATGATAAAAATAATAACAACTGTGAACATTTTTTGAGTTGCTGCTCTGGGTAGCTGCTTTACACCTGTCTTCCCCTTTCGTGATGAATAGCGCTGCGGGGGTAGCTATTCCTGTTCTTGTTTTACACATGAGGCAGCTGAGGCACAGTGTAGTCAGTGTAATTAGGCACCTTGGCTGAGGTCACATGGCTCATGGATGCTGGGGCCAATGTTAGAATGTAGTGGTCTGACCCCGGTCACATGCCCCAAATCACCATTCCTCACGCAGAGGAGGTACAGTGGAGCACATCGGGCTCAGAGAGGACAGGAAGCTTGTCCAAGCTCCAGGATTTCCCTCCAGATTCCTGTCCCTCCACTGCTCTCGTCCCTGGGTCTGCACTGGAACGCTTCACTCCCCCGCACCAGCGGATTAAACAATTGTTCTCAGTGTCATTTCTCTCCTTCCTGCTGTCCTCCCCTCCCAACCATTCCAAACTCTAGCCCCTGATCTCATGCTCATCTTCCCTCCTTCTAATTCATGGCCTCCGATTCCCTTACTCTGGACTGGGGATTTCAAAACCTGGCTGGCTGAGCCCACTGCGCTCAGCCCTGCCCAGGCCTGAGGGGAGGGGTCCAGGAGCCTTGTAAACTGGTGTTTATGGAAATGGGGGATGTGGGAGCTTCCTGGATGTCTCCCTGCTGCCTGCAATTATGGGCTAAACAGCTCCTTGGTGAAAGCCGTGCCCTCAGGGCTGACTTCTAACTCCTGTCCTGACTTCTAACTCCTGTCCCTGGCCTGTTATTTCTCTGCTCAGGTCTGCAAGTGCCAAGCTGTCAGGGAACAATCAGCCCCTTTGCCGAGGAGTCCCGGGCCACCTACCCTACCTCAGTGCTGGCAGCATTTCAGAGCACGGTCTGGTCCAGGAGGGGACAGCACCGCCCTGCATGACACAGGGAGCAGAGAGGCTGGGCAGGGCCTCTCCCAGGGGCTTGGGTTTCCCAACCCAGGCGTGCCACGGAGAAGGGGAGGAGTCTCGTGGGCCCTGCCCTGCTGTCTTCAGCCGGCCTTGTCAGCTCAGAGGGAAGCGGGCAAGGGCGGATGCCTCTGTCCCTGCCTGTGTGGAGCCCGCGCAAGGGGGGGCACACTTGGGGGAGGAGGAGAATCGCCCTGGGCTCCATCGCCAGTCGCCATTCAGTCGCCATTCTAAACAGAGTGCCTGACGCCAAGCACATGACACACACCTTTAATGCACAAATGCCAGGGAGGGGACAGAGGGAACAGGCATGCCAAGGAGGCAGCTTATAAGCACCGTGAGGTGGATGGGGTGATAGACACCATTGAGGTGGCTCTGGAGACACAGACTCCCCATCTCTGCATCTGGGGGGAGGGAGGGAGAGGGGGGGGCCGAGGAGGAGTTTCCAGGCTGCCTGGGCCTTGCAAGACAGGCCGAATGTGTGCCTGGAGACGGAGCGGGCTTTGGTTTTGGATATGCAGCGCAGAGAGATGCTGCCGGGAAGACAGAGGCTGGCTCAAGCCAGGGAAGGGGGTGTCGCCAGGACGCCAGGCTTCCCAGCAGCACAGGTGCGCTGTAGGGAGGGGAGGCAAGGAGAGGGCCCCAGGTGTCCAGGTGTGAGTACAAACAGGCCTCGAGACAGGGCTGAGGGGGCTGGGTGGCTGCCCTTAGTGTTTGTAGCTCTTCCGGCTGGAGGACGTAGTGGAGACAAACTTGACACTAGAGCCACTGCCCCCCGGGCCCCGGCTGCTGCTGCCACTGAAGCCAGAGCCCCCCAGGCCTGCGCCTAGGCTGTGCCCGCCGTTGGTGGTGAAGGAGTAGCTGCTGCCCCCACCGACTCCCAGGCTTCCGCCTCCAATGCTGCTGCCACCGGCGTAGCCACTGGAAACGGTGGAGGTGACCACAGCTGCCGGAAAAGGGGAGATGTGGTCAGAGTCAGGGGCAGGAGAGAAGAGGTGACAGCTGAGGTGTCAGGGCCTGTGCCCTGGAGCCCTCGGGGGGGATAGGAGTCTTGTCAGGCAGCTATTTGCCCCCTTCCAATTTCTCTTGCTTAGTGAGACCACGCTATGCGCCTCAGCCTGCGTCCCTGAGCTGTAGCGCTGGCATTCCCCAGGCAGACGGCCTCCTGTGCCCCCGCTACTGGTACTCAGTGTCTCTCTTCCCCTCCAGAACCTGCTGGAGACCTCGACCCGCTCCAGGAAGCTGCTCCTGTCCACCTGGCTTCCCCGTGGTCCCACCATGCCATCCCTACTGCTCTGCCAGCCCATCTCCCTCTCTGGGCCTGGCTCTGGACTCTCCCTTCCTCTGGAAACCTGTGGGGGCATGTGTGCTCTTCTCTTGACATCCCCTAGCCTAGGCCCTGGGAATCCCAGCGGGTGGCTCGAATGTTCTCGATGGACCAGTGACGGATGAACCCAGTTAACTCTGCCCTCTTTCTCCTCCCAATCTGTTCTTTTCCTAACTTATAACCACTGTTCACTTTAAACATTCTGGCACTCTACTTCAGGCTCTGCAGAAGGAAAATTGGAATTAAAAACAGACTCTGTTATGGGATGAATTGTGCCCTCCATAAAACTATGGTGAAGTCCTGACCCCTAGTGCATGTGAGTGCAGCCTTACTTGGAAATAGGATCTTTGCAGGTGTATTTGCATTAAGATAGAGTCTTTAGGGTGTCCTAATGCAATATGACTAGTGTCCTTATAAAAAGGGAAGACATTCATCTGAAGCCATAGATGCGTGGTCTCTAAGACAGACACTAGAGTGATGCAGCTGCAAGCCACAGGACACCGAGGATTGGCAGCACCACCGGAACTAGGAAGAGGCGAGGAAGGATTGTCCCCTGCAAATGTCAGAGGGAGTGTGGTCTTGCTGACACCTTGGTTTTGGTGTCAGAACTGTGAGATAGCACACTTCTGTTGTTTTAAGCCACACTGTTTGTGGTACTCCATGGCAGAAGCCCCAACAAGCCTATGAAGATGTTTAGGTGTTTTCAAGAGAAAGGAGCTTCAAGGTTATGCTCTCTATTCCAAAAATCACTTTTGAGGGTCTCTGGTACCATTAGACAAAGACATCAGGGAAGGAGGACACCTAGGTGGTTCAGAAGGCTCCGACTTCTAGAATCATTGACTAATTTAATCAATTGCTCCTATGAATCCCCCATCCAGAAAACCAAACTGACTTGTAGAGTGCAAGTTGTAAAAGTCATTTCAGCTGGGCTCACAGTGCCAGCACCGAGCTCTGTGAGTGACGATTTCTGCTCTAACTGGCACAGAGCTGTGCTGGCTTGCTAATGCCGCACCTGTGTTGAAGTAGCTGAACCCAACTGCCATGTTTGATGCTGCCCTTGCTGTCTTGCAAACCCTTGGCAACTCTCTGCACTTATACTCTGCAGAGCTGAGCCAAGCAGTGGGGCTTCTTCCCAAACGGTTTTGGAGAAGAGCCACCTGGGTGGCAATGCCCTTGCACCCAGCATGATGACTTCCTCCAAAGGCCCAAGGCAGACCAGGAGTTTCCATAAATCCTGTCCACATAAAATGTTCATTTCCTAGCTCGGCTTGCAGCCCCAGCAAGAAAGGCCTGTACTCCTGGGAAGTGGGAGCTGTGGCTGGGGTCTTCTAGACCCATGCAGAGCAATGACAACAAACCTCCCCTCACCCCTTCTGTGGCACCTTCACTCTCAAAGAGAAAAGAGTTGTGACATTAAAGACTCTCTCCTAAGATAACTTTCTTTTTAATGTACTCAAAACCTCCAACCTTCTCAAAATGAATCCTGTCTGTGGGACCCCCTCTAATGCCCTGCATCCTCACCCTCCTGCAAACCTGCCCCCCTCATCCCTCAACCACACATACTCCAAAGGGCAGAATAAGGAAGCCATACTCACAGATGTTAACTGGAGCAACTCCTTCTCCACTCAGCCTGATTGGGAAGAGAGGGGAGAAGGAGGGTTACTATTCTGTCCGGCAACTTGGGGGCATTTGCAATGACATTTTTGCAATTATTTTAAATGCATTTCAATACTCTTTATTATTTTTACTGCAGAAGTAATGTAGATTGAATTTATTTAAGTACTAGTAGCATTAAAAATAATAATCTAATGAATGATATAATGTGGAATTTGAGGTTCATAGGAGCAAAACCTGTAATTTCAGAAACATATTTTTGGTTTAAACTATTTAGACACCTCAAGGAAGTTAAAAGTAATATTATACTGGTGCGAATCAGAAAGGCAGAACCTGTCCTGTAACAAAAAGGTTTGTCTCTCAACAAGGGACTATTGTCATGCACTGGGCCAGCGTGGAGGTTATTGCAGGTGTGGAGAGGAGTCTGAGTCATGAGAATAACAATAGCAATAATCAGTCTGTTATTTTGTTAGCAACCAGAGCAACTTTGCTTTAGCATGTTGAGGACAAAACTGGCATTCATTCATAAGCATGTACTTAGGACCTTAACAAGAGCTGATGATTATTGAGTACCTGTTACCATATTATACCACTAAGTTCTCTCAACCACCCCATTAGGCAGGATGTATCTCAATCTCACAAAGGGAGAGATTGAAGCTCAGAGAAGTTAATTGACTTGACCATGGTCATAAATCTGGATTTGAAGGCAGATTTATCTGATTCTAAAGCCCATTCCAAAGCCACTAAACTGAATGACACCTAACATTTATGAACACTGTGTATCATGCATTGTTCTGAGAGCTTTGTGAATATTCCCTTAGTTTAACCCTTCTAAAAATATATGAATTTGGAGTTATTGTTATCTCATTTGATAGGTTAGAACACCGAGGCATGGAAAGGGTAAGTAATTTGCCCTTGGTCACAGGGCTAGTAATTGGCAGAGCACAAAGCTCCCACTGGACTTTGGAGATCATGGAATCTGGCCTCTTCATTCTCTCATTGAAGAAATTGAGGGCCAGAGAGGGGAGACTGACTTCCCCAAGGTAACGTGGCTAGTTAGTGGTATACCTGTAAGCCTCAATACTAGGACACTTTATTCTCAGTACAGGGCTTTTTGTACCACATTTCGAGACCAGCTATGTAACCAGTTTCTCTTTTGATTGAATTTGATTACTTAGACCTAACCAGGTCCTGGATTTCTATGGGGTACTCAATGTAGTTGCACCTCCAGTGATTTACTAGCCTGGAAGGAAATTGTACCCATGTTCTTTGTCATGGCCCAACTGCATCTGCATTTTGCTCCCTTTTCCAAAAGAGGAGGAGCTGCAGCATCCTGAGCCCCTAGGGATTCCCAGGCAGCCAGGCAGAGGGGTGGGCAGCTCAGCTTGCTTTGAGGATGGAGTTGGTGCATCTGCTCTCACCTGCTCTCCTCGCCCTCCAGCAGCTTGCGGTAGGTGGCGATCTCCACGTCCAGGGCCAGCTTGACGTTCATGAGCTCCTGGTACTCACGCAGCAGCCGGGCCATGTCCTGCTTGGCCTTCTGCAGGGCCTCTTCAAGGTCCACCAGCTTGGCCCGTGCATCTTTGAGGGCTAGTTCTCCACGCTGCTCTGCGTCAGCGATGGCCGTTTGCAGGCTGGAGCACTGTGAGGAAAGGAGGAAGCCATGAGTCCCACCCACAGCCCCTGGAGGTATGCTGCTTCTTGGGGAAGAGTTGTGAGGTGGCAGAATGACCCAGAAGAAATTAGTATTTGAGGAGCTCTTGTCCTTGCCAAAACTCTACCTGCTTCTTGACACTGTCGATCTCAGCTCTCAGCCTCTGGATCATGCGGTTCACCTCAGAGATCTCTTGCTTGGTGTTGCGGAGGTCATCGCCGTGCCTGCCCGCGGTGACCTGCAGCTCCTCGTACTGAGAGAACCAGAGCAGACTCAGTCAGCTAGTCAAACGCCTGGCCTGGGCACTCGTTGTGTGCACCTGGCCCTTGGTGCCACAGGTAGGTGCATTCATTCACTGATCCTTCACTCATTCCCCTGAAGCTTACAGTTTATTGGGAGAGATAGACGTTACTCAAATCAGCGTATGATCACATTACAGTTCCAAACTGAGATAAGTGCCCCTTAGGAAATGACCAGGGTCCTGGGAAAGTGTAGTAAAAGAATTTGACGTAGACTTGCGAGTGGCAGGTGGTGGTCAGGGAAGTCTCTCCAGAGACTGAGATGCTCCACCTGTGGTCTAAAGGATGGGAAGGAGGGACCTAAGTGACCAGATTTTGGGGAAAACATTCCAGACAAAAGAAACAGGCTGTGTGAAGACCCTGGCTGAGGAAGGAATGGTGTGTTCTGGGAGTGAGGCAGTGACTTGGTCACTGTCCCCGGGGAGTTGCTGGTCGCGGGGCATGCGTCCAGACCAACTGTGCCCATGGATTTTGTGAGCCCTCCCAACACCAGTGCCGGGGAAACAGGGAGGAGATGCAGGGAACAGCGCTGGGTGGTGCAGAGGCCGTAGGCGGCACCTGTGGAGACTTTGGAAAAGAATCCTCGAGCTCAGGCAGCTCTCAGTCTAATGGCGCAGATCTACCACGCACTCATTTAGGAGAAATAATTACACCCTGTCTGCTCCAGCAGACTGCTGTGAAACCCACACATTTCCCCGACAGAAGCAGAGCCCCTGCCCGAGGCAAGATCTGCCAGGTTTTGAAAGCGCTGAATAGCTCAGCTTCCTGTTTCTAGACACACATGATTAAAAGGAACGACAACCCAACAACGCAAGGAATCCTTTGCTATACAGTTCAACCACTTCACCTTGGCGGTAAGCGCACCCCATATGCTCTCGCTGACAAGGGGCTGCCACTGCACTGTGGCTCCCTAGCCCCGGCCCCGCCTGCCTTCCTCTCCACCACTCTGCTGACCGGAAGGGCAGTGCCCAGAGCAGGGCAAGGGACAGGAGCCGGCTTGTCCGTGAGCAGCTGCCCATGAGGGGTCTGGACTTGGCAGGGAGCTGATCTCCTGGGTCGACTCTACCCCTCCAAAGCCATCTGAGCCTCTGGGCAGCAGGTCTTTAGGGTTAGCCTGAGTCCCCCCCTTCCTGACTCAGACTCTCCTGCTCAACAAAGCGCTCGTTCCTGCCTTCTAGCTACTTGCGGGGCCTCACACATGTCCCTGCTCCTCGGCCATCTTCGGTCCCTCACTGCTTCCCAGCTGGACTAGAAGCCCACCTCTTCCTGGGAGCTTTTTAGTGATGTTGTCTTTTCCCTTCCATGATTGTCCATTCACTTTATGGCCTCCTGGGCCTGGGGTTCTCTGTTGGTAGTTTATTCGTTTACAGCCCTGCAATCCTGCTTGGCATACAGTAGGAGCTCAGAAAATATTATGGAATAAATAGGCCTTTCAGAAACTGCTTCACAACCTTTCCTGGTTGTTTTGGGGGCTCACCTTCCCTGTCCCCACTGAGATCTCAAGCAATGTGGGGCCCTGGATGTCCCGAACACCCAAAGTTGCCCTGACTGCATGTTAGTGTGTATGGTTAGGTTTCAAACTACATTTCCATAGCATCAAAGATGCTCCTGCCAAGTTGAAAGAACCGGAAATGCTCACACATTTCCTGAGGCCTATAGCTCGGAGTTAAGTGATGATACGAAGCCTCAGAAAACACTAGCCCTGGAACCCATCACGGAGGTGCCCACACTCACCTTGGTCTGGTACCAGGACTCAGCCTCAGCCCGGCTGCGGTTGGCGATGTCCTCGTACTGCGCTTTGACCTCGGCGATGATGCTGTCCAGGTCCAGGTTGCGGTTGTTGTCCATGGAGAGCACCACGGATGTGTCGCTGACCTGGGTCTGCATCTGGGACAGCTCCTGCGGGGCAGTAAACTCAGCGTCACTGAGGCATAAAAAGAAGGGATCTTGAATCCTGTGGTTGACTGCCCAGCCAGGTCAGGAATCCCTTCTTTGGCATCCCTGGCAGATCCTTCCAGCTGTTCCCTGGGCACTCCCACCCACTTACGGGACCCGGTAAGTTTCTGGGTCATTGATCACTTCTCAAGGTTCCCATCTGTGGGCTTTCCTTGGGTATCAGGGTGAGTAAGTGTCCTCTGAGTTCAAATCACATAGATGTGAATGTGACATGTGTCTGCTCAATATGCCAGCACAAAAGCTTTCTTCAGGATCTGGTGATGTTTAGGACCCTGCTGTCCCTGCATGATATGACTTCATCACTTCCTACCTCTCTCCCTTTCCACAGACCCAGGTCTCTGCCTGCAGAGGGGCAGTGCCCGGGGTGTGGCATTGTCCAAGGGCAAGGAGCCCCCAGCCAATGAGCTGAGAGGAAGCTTGCTTTTGTTAACTTTTCTAGGAAGGAGAAGGGAGCAGGTACATCTTGATTCCTTGGGAATGTTACCCAGTGACCTAGAATTTGGGAATTGGCACCCCCTCCTTGCCGGGGGTGGTCCTGCCATGAGGCAGGGAAAGAAGCCTCAGAGCTGGGGTAGTTCAGCATGACAAGGTTCCAAGCAGTTTTCCCTGGTTCCCCTGCTCTCTAAGGCCTCAATTGGCATATACAGCCAGATGCCCGGTGGAGGCACTGAGTGGACAGCACTCTGCTGCAGCCTTCCTGTCCAGACTCCAGATCTAGGAGCAAGAACACCTGCGGACTCTTACCGCCTCAAAGACCAAACGGTGAAAGTTGAGCTCATCGGCCAGAGATTTGACCTTGGCCTCCAGCTCCACCTTGTTCATGTAGGCAGCATCCACGTCCTAGAATGACAGCACAAGATGCTCCTCTGAGACCATAGCCCCAGGCAGTGAATCCAAAAGAAGCCAAACAAAGTTTTCCCTGAACATCTAGTTTGGATTTTAGAAAACTCTGGGTCTGAGGGCTTTGTGTGTGGGGATGGGTGATGACTGAGAACAGGGGCTTGAGTTCCCTGAGCTGGCAGAAACCCAAGCAGGGACAGTGGGGCCGTAAACACAGAGGGAGTGTTTTGGCAGGTTTGAGTTCTCCAGTTGTTCTCCAGGTTGATGTGACATTTCTTGGGTGGCCCATGGGTCAGGCCACCCCACACTCCAAGATTCAGTTTTAAATCTTCTCCTTTGAGCTACATTTCCACTCACCTTTTTCAGGGCCACAAACTCATTCTCAGCAGCCGTGCGCTTGTTAATTTCATCTTCATACCTGTAAGGACAGAGGAGGGGTGTGCTATTGAGCAAGTCCTCCATTGAACTCTCCCAGCCTGGTGTGGCAAGAGGTAAGAGACCTCACATCCTTCCCCGCTCTTCCGCTGACCTGTGTGTGACTTCGGTGATTCACTTAACCTCTATTTCTCCCTCTATAAAAGGGGGATAATTGTTTCTGCCAGTTTGTTTTTTTTTTAACTTTTGTAAGACTAGAAGGTGAGCATGGAACTTAAGGGAATAGAAATATATACTTATGCCACTGCATCTTTCTATGAATGCATAATTCTAATCTTTAAAAACATTTGCTGCCTCAAGTGCCTGCTGAAACTGTGGGGTTAACTTAATCTGCTTGGGAGACAGTCCAGGTATATTTTGATATATTTTTTTTGAGCCTCAGGGTGGCCATTGAAAAGAAGTGTGTTTTTGTATCTAGGCGTAGCTAAAACTCAGAAGCAAGAGTAAGCCAGCTAAGGGGTTGGCTAGGGCCATCCCTTTCCACTGGCTACCTTTACCCACTACCGTTCCAATGATGTGCAGTCAGGATTTGCCTCCACGAGGAAGATGAGATTGCCTTGCTGAAACTCTTCCTTCCTGCCTCTCTTCACTCCCAAGCTAAGGCCTTCTTGGAATTGCAAGTTATCTCAATAACTGAGCCCATGTCCAGTGGAATTAAATAATATGCAGACTGTGAAATAACATTATGCTTTTCTGAGTGAGTAACAATGTTTTGTTAGATAGTGCTGGTCTCCCTTTGTGGTCATGTAGACATAAGGATGGGCTCCTTGTTAACAGTGATGCATGAGATGAAGGTCCCTTTGTTACCCCACACCACACCGTCTTCACCTTATGTGATAATGACTGCCAGTTCCAAAGCTCCTGGCTGACACTGGCATCTGCTCTTTTGCTCCTCTCTGGTCCTCAAACAAAGGAGGCCTGGGATGGCTATGTGTGGCCAGAGGCTGTGTCCCACTTACCTGACTTTGAGATCTTCCACGGTGTCCTGCATGTTCCTCAGCTCAGCCTCGAGCCTGCCCCTCTCGTTGGTGATGCTTTCCAGCTGCCGCCGGAGGTCACTGATGTAGGCGTCAAAGAGGGGCTCCAGGTTCTGCCTCACGGACCTGGTGCCCTGCTCCTGCAGGAGGCTCCACTTGGTCTCCAGGACCTTGTTCTGCTGCTCCAGGAACCGCACCTGCAGGGGGGAAGAGAGAATAGGATCTTGAGAAGCCAGGGAGGCAGAGTCAGATACTCCAGTTAATAAAGGAGGGAAGAAAAAGATATTTTTTCACCTGACATCCATCTGGCAACTATGTAACTGACAATGCCAACCCCAAAGGAGAAACCCCACGAAGCTACCCCAAAGTTCCCTTGGGCTTCACAGAATGAGCATGGAGGGGCCCAGGGGCCTCCGTGCCTGGTTGAGTTTCTCAAAGCCACCTGGGCTGGTGAGGGCAGCTCGCTCAGTGGCAACTGTCCTCCTGTAGAGAGTCAGCTTAGCTTTGCCCTCGGTGTGGACTTGGAACCAGCCCATGGGGCTCTAAAAGAGGAAACTGCCACAAGGTCCTGTGGGCAAGCTGGCCCACCTGGAAAATGCCTGGGCCCCCCGGGGGGCTTCCCCACAGGGAGGCCATTGCCCTATTGCTCTTCCTTCTGGGATGGGGCCTTTCCAACAGTTTGTTCAATCCCAGACTCAAGGGAACAGACAGAGCTCATGTCTCACCTTGTCGATGAAGGAGGCGAACTTGTTGTTGAGGGTCTTGATCTGCTCGCGCTCCTCGGTCCTCACCCGCTGGATGGTGGGGTCAATTTGCAGGTTGAGGGGAGCCAGGAGACTCTGGTTGACCGTGACCTCTTGGATACCTCCAGGGGGGCAGGCAGGGAAGCCAGGGCCACCAAAGCCCCCTCCAATTCCAACCCCATAGCCAAATCCACTGTTGACCCCAAACCCGTTGCTAGCCCTGCCACCAAAGCCACTTCGGAAGCTGCTGCCGCACCCACTGATGGAGACCCGCTTGGGCCCCCCCAGGTTGTAGAGGCTGCGGCTTCCGAAGCCGACCCCAGCACTGCTGACCCTTCCCGGCCCCCCGCTGCCCCCGGTGGAGCGGGCCACAGAGACGGAGCTGAAGCGGGAGCGGCCGGCTGCTGGGGTGGTGGCTGAGGCCGTGCTGAAGCCCCTGCGGCTGCCGGTCTGGAAGGTGACAGTGGACTGCCGAGACATGGCGGCAAGGAAGGCCGGCGAGAGCAGCGCCTGAGGTAGGCTCGTGCAGGGGGTGGAGGAGGCAGGTGGTAGGGAGCCCCGGACCTGGGGCTTTTATGGGCCTCCAGGAGGGGCGGGGCACTCTCACGGAGAGGGCTTTCTGATGGCATCCCCTGGGCATTCGCCAACCCTGAGCTCACATGCGGCACCCTCGGGACATGCTGTAAGAGCCACAGGCTGGTTCCCTGGCATACCCCCCTCCATGGAAACTCCTTTCCAGTTGCAACTTGATCAGCAGACCAATGTGAGGCAAGTTAATTGCTTTCAGTCATGTGCTAATCATGCATCTTATAAGGGACTCAGAAAACACTGCCTCATTTCTAAACCGCTTTCCTCGGCCTGGGACCGACTCCCTGCTGTCCAAACACCTTGTGTCAGTACAGGTGTCTGCGACCCACTGTTTCCTGTTCCTTAGGCACTTCCTGTTTCTGAGCATTTTCTCAGTAACTGCAGCCGGCCCTCCACAGCCTTCAAGCTTTCCCTCCAGATCTTGAAAATCCTGCTCTGCAAACCATCTTCCTTAGGAGCCCACCCTGTTTTGATGGCCCCTTTGTTTTGCTCTTAAGCTTTCACATCTATTGTGTAGGTCACACATGATTTTCCAGAGCGTGTGTGCTGGTGCCATGCCCACTCCCACGTAACGTGGCTCTCCCGGCCAGCCAGCTCCCGGTCTCCTGTGCAAGAGGGCTTGGGTTTGAATCCCAGGCCTGCCAATTACTCATCGTTGTTGGACCTTGGGAAAGTCATGAAACTTTTCTGAGCCTCAACTTGTTGTGTCTGCCAAATGGGGCCGTGATGAGTATTCTCATGTGGAAACTACTTTTGCAATGCCTGGGGCATGTGAGCACTGAGTGAACGTCTGTTGAGGTTCTCTCCTGATACAATCAAGCAAGTATGAATGAAGTGCCCACTGCGTGACAAGTCCTGTGGGAAATCAAAAGAAACATAATACATGTGATTTTTCTTTCATCAAAAGCTCCTGGTCCTGTTGGGAAGGCAAAACCGAAGCACATGAAATAATTGATGAACGAGACAGTATACGGTGAAGCAGAACCGCCAATCTATCGCATATTCCAGGCTGCCTTATCCCAGGAGCCTCCTGGGCTGGCCACTCCCCCTCCGTCCCACCCATTCATCAAAAGAGGCCACGGGTTGCAGTTAGTAGAGAATTTTTTTTCTTTTCTTCTCCTGTTAATCTGTTGGCTATGCCCTATACTCCCCTGAGTCTACAGACTGATAAGGAGACTTCCAGGGTGCTTGTCCTCCTTTTCTCTGTATCTTATTTCCCCGTCTCTACCAGGGGAGGAGTCAGCCTGACAATTTGCTAAATCTTATATCTTGCCGACCTCCTGCTTCTTGCTGTGGTTTTGAAGGATGGGATAGTGAGAGAGGCAAGATCTGCACTCAGTCTCCATTCGTGGATGAGGAAGCAGCCCCAGAAAGGTTAATTACGCAGACAGGCCCACGAGAGCCAGAGCCAGAGCCAGATGCCAGGGCGTTTGCACACAGGTGTCCTTTTAGGGACACATGGGTAGCCGGCGGTTTGGCAGACACTCTCACCAGCCTAGAATGGCAGCTTGGCACTTGGCGTGGTGCTTCTCTGTTCTCTGAGCTATTTCCTCCTTGGGGCTGAGGCGGGGGTGGGGTGGGGAAGGCCTCTCCTCCAGCTAGAGATTGTCTGAGAGTCTCAGTTTCCACAGGGAAGCTATGAATCACAGCTTTGTTGACACAGGCCAAGGAGAGCACAGGAGTTCTCTCACTGGGTTGCTGACGCGCCTGGGTCCCAGCCGGGTGGCCCAGGGTTCTCGAGTGGAAAGAATAATTATCTTTGTTTTCTGTACTCTTCGTAAATGATAATCTGCCCCCTAGAAGAAGGCACACTTGTTTGCTGAGCAGCGCTGAGTGAAGCCTCGCACAGCTTTCCTTGGGCCGAAGGCCAGCACGGGTCAGGGCGTGGACAGTGGCTTACCCGGCAGGGCCGAGGGAAGGGGGCCGCCTGCATCTTCCCTCTCCGCTCCCGAGCTTCTCAGGTGGGGAGCCGGCTCCAGTCTGCCCTCCCTCCTTCCTTCCCCAGCCCTTGCTGGGATCCCACTGCCAGGCACTGTCATCGCTTTCTGTCCCCATTCTGGTTTTTCTCAGCCACCACCCCTCAGCTGGGGTTGCTCATTTATTCTTTTTCTCCTTCCGTGCTCTCATTTTTCCACCAAGATGGTTGTTCCTGGAGTTAGACTGTTTTACAGACTTGGGCGAGTTAGACTGAAGCAGATGTCTGTCCCCTCTCTCCCTCCTTCCCTGGCACTGTGACCTGCACTGTGACCTGCATCTTTACCCTGGGGGAAGATGTTTACCTGAGTGTCTGGGACACCTGGCCCCACACAGCCTGTGTCACCACTCACTTTAAAGTCCCTGAATTACAGACTATTAACACCTTCTTTGCTTTCTGTCAAGGAAGTTTTGTTTTGTTTTGTTTTGTTTTGTTTTGTTTTTAACCTCCTTTTAAATTCTGCTTAAAACTCACTCCCAAGAAACCTTTTCAAATAAACTGCCCCAGGCACTAATCCCTTTACACCTGTTTGCTTAGAACACCTGCTGTCTGGTTTTCTGGTGGTCTGGGTATCGGTCTACCTCTGAGGGTTGGGGTGTTTCTCCTCTCCCCACCCGACTTGCCTCCTAAACACCATAAATAGAACCGTGGCAGAAGTGTTTGCTATATAGATTGTCTACGTATCCATTTCTGTTCTCCAAGCATTCCTGAGTCTTTTGAACTCTGTAGTATGGGTCCACCTGGGAGGAGCATCCTTGCAGTTTGGGGAGTGGAGGGTTCCAGGCCATGCTGTGTGCTCTGGTGCCCGAGGCTGGGTGAGCGAACCTCTTCCACCTCCTGTTCCCTGCCTGTCCTGCCCAGGGTCATCTCCATCATCCTCAGAGGGACACCAAGGTCCTTGGCAAGTGGTGGGTTCCAGGGAGGCTGAGCAGGGTGGCGATCAGGGCTGTGGAGGTGGGTGGGGGAGGAGAGAAGGTGCTGATGTGCCTCCCAAGGACGAGGAGTGGAGGGTGCACCTGGGTGCCTGGGCTCTCAGGCCAGGCCCAGGGGAGGGTGGCCCAGATGGAACACCACGGACAGAGGGCTTTGCCTCCCTGGAGCAACCTGGCTGGAATCACAGAGCCGGGCCCTGGGCACTGCGTTGAGGACCCAGCCCACAGCCCCCACCCCCAGTTGCTCGATATGCTAGATCCCTGCTGACTTCTCCTCTCTGGGGCAGGCCTGGCTTTAGGGAGTAACTATTAGCACCTGTTGTGAGCCAAGTGCTTGCTGATCCAGGCCTGGGAGATATGGCTGTGAACAAAGCCGACAAAACTCCTCCTTTGCCTTGGAGGAAGAAGGGGAGCCAAGGTGGTTTGGAGGTACAGTCACAACCTGGGTCTCCCAGCTGACACACTCCTAGGGTGTCATAATTCTGTTGCGGTGGTGCCTGAGACATGAGAGAGCCACTAGAAAGCAAGAACAAAGTCCAAAATTAGGAGAAGGAAAGAAAAATAAAGATAGAGGAAACAATGAAATTGAGTATAAAAATTGAAAGATTAAAAAAAAACTAGTCTTTTGAAAAGATAAACAAATTGACAACCATTAGTTAGACTAAGTAAGAACTAACTCTAGAAACCAAATAAATAAATCAACAAAAAGAAGAAATCACAATGGATATCACAGAAATATAAAGGAATATGAGACTACTATGATCAATCATGTGCCCATAAATTCAAAAATCTAGAGGAAATGGATAGATTCCAGACACATACCAACCTACCAAATGAACAAAAAATAGAAACCTAAGCACACCAAATCCAAGTAATGAGATTGATTAGCAATGAAGGCCTCTAACAAAGAAAACTCCAAGACTGGATGACTTCACCACTGAATTCTGCAAGCTTTAAACATAATAATACCAATTCTTATCAACAAAAGTTATCCAAATTTTGACAATTGTTGCATCGATTCCTTTATTGTATTTAATATCCATGAACCATAATATTTAAGTTATTTAAATACATATGTAGAGATAAACTATTTTAAACCTTGTGTGTATTGCTATATCCTAGATAATTTTTCTGTCGATTATATTCTCTTTATTATTTACCATGGGTTCCTGTGGTAAGTGTTCATGGATTTCAGAAGTCAGTCTTCACCTGTCTGCATCAGGAAAGTTCTGGGCTGAAAATGAGTGACTCCCATGTTGCTGGGGGAACAGTCAGAGGGGCTCCATACTGACAGAGTAGGATCTAGAACACCAATACAATCCAAGAAAATTCTTCAGTGACATGAGAATCTGAGAGTTGAAGATAATGAGCATCGTGGAGACAACAGGACTGAAGTGGCTCAAGGATGGTGCAAGTGAAGTGACCACCCCCACCCTTCTCCTGGGTTTTCCTCATCATTCATGGACATTAAATCGGGAGAGAATTCACACCTGAGAGAGGTGACCCTGTCTTGTGACAGGGACTTGGTTTCTTTGAATCTGCTTACAGTGTGAGAAAAGGGGATTTTCTTCTTTTATTGTATTCACAATTCAAGGAATAAAATCTGAATTTTTGTCCTGACGCTTGTACCCTTATCTTGACCAGTTTGAGTGTCTCCAATATTTCTCTGTTGTGGAGAATGTTCCAGTTGTAAATGGCTACACCTTCTACATTGTACTATGTCTCTCAGGGTGCATTTCTGGAACTGTAATTCCAGTTCAGTAGTATACGCACCTTAATCACTCTTATACATGCTGTAAGGCAAGTTTCTAAGTCATGAAGCCAATTCTACCTATTAATAGATATCAAATATCTGATTCTCTTGTCAAATGTCTCTTGCGCTAATGGCCAGGATATATTTCTCACCTGGGCATTTAGCGCTGAGTACTGGCATGGGGTAAAAGAGCTCAGAAACCAGCTCAGAGGAACTGTGTCACCATTCCTAGTATGGACACTAAGAGTGTACAGTGACCATGGACCGGACACCTCCACTCCCTTGCCAAAAGATAGATGACTTTGAACTGGAAGACACGCTGAATTTAAGATGCCAAATCACAGTTGTTCAATTCTCTAAAGGAGCAGTTATGTAACCAG